AACAAGATCCTTGGCCAAGTATTATTTTAATTATACAATTCTAAATAAACTTCTTAACTGAGAGAAGTTGTTTGTCTTATGTCCTAAAGATCATTTTGATACACGACAATAGCGCCCCCTACTAGCAACAGTACCGCCTGAACACACGACTTTGCTATAACTTCAGTGTACATTGTCCAGTCGCCCATTTTGAATTTAAAAATGAGTCACCATGCACTTTTTTAGTGTTTGTACACACATTTGTGTATTTGGGTGGCCTACCAAGTCAGAAACTGGGAAAAAAATCAACCCTTTTTTTGTGGGCTGCCTATATCAGAAGATTTTGCTCCCCTTGCTACCTAGGAAGCTGATTCATATTGATAGTACCGCCTACCCTTTGACTAACCACCTCCCATGGAGGAGAGCTGTCTTTGCCGCTGTCCGCCATGTTTGCCATGCAAGGACTGGCTGTTCCTGAAAGCCTAGAGCTAAGTTCCACAGCTGCCCTGATGTAAGCTGCACGGACCAGCACAGAAGTCTGTATGTCCTCCCATCATCAGAGCAAGATACATACTTCATTTTGGATTATTTATATATTTTTGAAATGTGACTCAAATGTTCCCACAAGGAATGCTGTCTGTGACCCAAATTCACACTCTATTTGATGTTGTTTTACTGTTTATTGTGTAGGTTAGCCTGCTGGACTTGGCATTAACATGCTGTGCGGCTAATGTGGCTAACATTGTAGTCACACAGGCTGGGCTGATGTCGGACTTTATGTTGTAATATGAGGTACAGTCAGAAGGTGTGTGCCTTGTCAGCCTTGTTAGAAGCCTAGGCTACATGTTTTGCTGTATGTAAATTCACTTGATCAATGTGCACCAGAGGTAAAGACAGAGCTATGTGTAAGAAAGAAATGTTCAAACTGCAGGAATTTATTTGTTTAGTAAGGCTGTGTAACTTTGATTAGCATTACTGTGTTTGTGAGTCATACCATGAGCAATAAAAAAACGTTAGCGTTAATGTGGTTATGTTAACAGTATTACCGACGAGTATTACTAAGTCCGATGTCAGACTTTTCGTTGTAATATCAAGGGAGAATCACAAACTGTGTAACTTTGTACTGACTGCTAATGTTATCTCATGTAGCATTAGCTTTGTCTTTGTACTGAAGCCCCTCTTGTGTGCTGTAGAATGTTAATTTACTTGATCAACATGCACTAGAGGTAATGATAGAGATACTGTGAGAGAGAAATGATGAAACTGTAGGAATTCATTTGTTTAGTAAGAATGTGTAACTGATTACCACAGAGCAGCTGTGGTTGCTCCCTAGGCTGTTTGTGGAGTCAAACCGTGACTAATAAAACTTTTCTGATCCATATATTCAGCGTTACTGCAGTACTCGTATTACTGACGTTATAAATGCACACCCAGTTTAACATCTCCTATTTATATCGTCTCCTGTTGTATTATAAACACTGAGGCTTACTCTAAAATGTCTGTGTTTGCACCAGGAACTTTGACAATATATGTTACTGTTTAAAAGTGCCATGTAATCCATTCCTTCATCAATAATTGATTCAATAAATCGGCAGGGGTTGGTGCATGGCTGGGGAAAGCAGACATTTCACGTAAATCAGATCAAAATTGCCACGCAGCACTTACTTCCTGTTGCCAGTAGGTGGCGCTCTCACTATATCTGAATATTGTCACATAGATGTGTTCAGGGCGGGACTCTTTTTAGACAAGTGAAGTTTGGAGCCCAATTGGACAATGTCACTTTTATCACTACATGCGCTACATATCTTTCACACACTTCATACAGCGATGGCAAAGTCCATTGAATGGACATTCAGACACGAATGACACAGCATTGGAGTTCATTTCAGCGAGTAGAGTTCAGTATCTTGCTCAAGGATACTTCGACATGCAGCTGGAGGAGCCAGGGATCGAACCAACAATCTTCCAATTAGTGGACAAACCGCTCTACATCTGAGCCACAGCCGCATGGTTATTCTCAGGATTGTCTCAGGGAGGGCATCATCCAAGCCTGTTAAACAAGATGAATTTTACAGTTTGAAAGTGACTGCATTTATTTTATGTCTGCATCAGCCCTTGCTGAAAATATGTGCATATATCAGCATACAGGACTCTGGCCTGTAAACGTGCTCGCTATGACAGGAGTTTTGTACCTTCTGCCATAGCATCTCTAAACAAGGCATCCGCTGTGGGTGGATGCCATGCACAGGACAGGGAGGGGTAAATGTGCTAAAGGCGCTCAAGAATAAAAGTGTTTATTCTTGTTGTTATGCCGTGGTGTCCCTATGTATCTCGTGTCTATGTATGTATGTCTGAAAGCT